TCAATTGGTATAAAGAAAACACATTGGTTTTAAAAAAAAGTATGCAGCTGCATGTTGCAAACTACATATTTTTTCTTGAAAGCAACTATGTGTTTTCTTTATACCAATTGATTCGTCTCATTATTTTATGCATAAAAGTATTAAGGTAAGATTCCCAAAAATTAAATGTTTTACAAAATATTTTGTATTTTATGTCAAAATACTGTAATTTACAAGCCTCATAACTCGAAAAGTACTTAATAAAAAATAACTTTATTTTAGTGTTTTGAAAAGCTCTTGACACCAGCTATTAGATTTTGGAATCAAAAATAGGGGTTTTCATTTAAAAAAATAACTGTGACCTTTAAATAACCTTGAAAATTGACTTTAAGGTCAAAATCACTAGCACAAATAGGTGACCCCCATTGTCCTGAACAACTTTTGTCTGAACTATTTTATGTATTTGGCTTACTTACGGAGTTATTTGCGTGGATGGATTAAAATAGCCCAATATATACAGGGTGTTTTATAATGTCCGTGCCAACGCTCGTGTACGAATAGAGTGCGGTAAACTGAATAGAAAAGTCCTTTACCGTTTTGCAATTTTCGCAATAGTAATTGAGATATTAATTAAAAGGAATTGACGAATAATCGCGCGTTGATCGCGGCTAGATCGTAGGCTGTACGCTCTAGGCGTGACAGCAATGAGAATCGCATGGCAACAAAAAATAACAACGCATATCACTCCTGCTCTCGCTACGTGTTATTTTTCGTTGCCATGCGATCCTCGTTGTTGTCACGTTTAGAGTGTACAGACCACGATCTAGCTACGCGCAACGCGATTATTCGTCAATCCTTTTTAATTAATATCTCAATTACTATTGTGAAAATTGCAAACGGTAAAGGACTTTTCTATTCAGTTTACCGCACTCTATTCGCACACGAGCGTTGGCACGGACATTATGAAACACCCTGTATATATATATATATATATGTATATCTCCAAATGACCTCAGGAATCTGCCATTAACGGGTGATACGGTAAGTCTGGGTATATATATGTATATATGTATATATGCATATAGATACATCACATTAATATTTAAGAAGTTAATATCAAAAAATATTTTTGGAGATATATGCTATATGTCTAACATTTAAGTAAATAAGTTTTATTTTCTGCAGTAAATTAACATTTAATTTTACTAAGCAATAATAGCATTTTTTCATTTTGGATTAATCATGTCAAAGGTAAATAAATTAAATAATTAACAATAATCTATTAGCATATTGGATATAAATTAAAGATTTTAATTTTAATTTACTTAATTAACTTTCTATTGTTTCCTTTCAATTCACTTATTTTCTGACAGAAAAACTTATCCAAAAATAATAAAATGACTATAGTCAACGGCTGCCAAGTGTTCACTTTGACTCATATATTGACTATGGTCAACAATCAAGAAATATTTTAATTTAAAATTAATATAAATTAGAAATTAAAAACAGGCTTTTTGTTAAATAATAAAAACAATAATAAAACGCTCACAGAGCCTGAGCTGGATTTTAGTACAAATGTTTCGACACATTGATTTCGACCATCTTTAGTGTACAACTAAACTTGCAATTGTACATATTTTCAGTATAATTTCTATTGCAAGCGCAGATCTTGGTCGTAAAACAAACTTCTCCGTTTGATGTTATGGTGGATGAGAAATGGTCTTCATATTAATCAAATCGAATAGATATAATAAATAAACTGCGAATGCAAATAAATAATCAAGAATTAGAGTCAACAATCAAATTTGAAATTACATCAAAAATAGAATTAAATAACCACGCACCTCACAATCAGTATAACCGGTCGGTTATATTGAAGTGATGAATAACCGACCGGTTATTCATAATATTGTTGCGTCCGCGTGTCGTAATTGACAGTCTGCGATCGCCCGAATGATAATTACACGCACACACAAGAAAGAACTCAACACCAATTTAAACACTCAAACACTTTAATAATTAAACACGGAAACACAACAACGTAACAAGAATTCGAGTATAATATGTCGGAGCTATGAAGTACGCGTCCGCACAATCTGACAGTCCAAGAAAATCAATAATTTTATAAACATTAGTTAGTTTCTATGGGAACATAAACATTAGCTAGTTTCTATGGTAATATTGACACATGACATTTAATTTATTATAACTCTTTTACAAACTATACTATCAAATAGTTCGTTAATCGATGTTACTATAGCAACACGCAAAGATAAATAATCGCGTAATTCAGGGGCGCGTAATTCAGGGTACGCAACAATATTGATTAATATTATAAAAAAGAATTTAGTAAGACTACCAATTAATTAGAATCAGGTTGAATCTATATAAAATTCTGTCAATTTAATATACAAAATAAATAATATGTAAAATTGCGAATTAATAATTTATTAATTATTAATTATTTATTAATTAATTATTTATAATATTTAATATGTAAAATTGCGAGTTTAGTTATATACTAAAGATGGCCGAAATCAATTTGTAAAAACGTTTGTATTGAAATTTGATTAATAATCACGAGCGCAAATCCAGCTCTGGCTCTGTGAGCGTTTTATTATTTTTATTTTTAATTTAATTTTAATTATATTGTTTATAATAAATTATTACACAAAGTTTATTATTATAT